CTTTGTCACCCAGGCTAGAGTGCAGTGGCATGATCTCAGCTCACAGCAACCTCCACCTCCCAGATTCAAGCCATTCTCCTGCCTCAGCCTCCCAAGTAGCTGGGACCATAGGCACATGCCATGACACCCAGCTAATTCTTGTATTTTTAAGTAGAGATGGGGTTTCACCAGGTTGGCCAGGCTAGTCTCAAACTCCTGACCTCAGCCTCCGAAACTGCTGGGATTATAGGCATGAGCCATAGTGCCCCGACTGAATCAATCTGATTCTCTTTCTACACACTACTTATTTCAGGGCAGGAATGTATATCACAATCATCAGAGGGCCTTTAAGAATACAGACACCAGGCCAGGCACAGTGGCTCACACCTGTAACCTCAGCACTTTGGGAGGCCAAAGTGGGAGGATCACTTGAGCCCAGGAGTTCAAGACCAGCCTGGGTAATATAGCAAGACCCCAAATCTACAAAAAAAAAAATTTTTAATTAGCCAGGCATGGTGGCATGTGCCTGTAGTCCCAGCTACTCAGGAAACTAAGGCAGAAAGATCACTTGAGCTCAGGAGATTGAGGCTGCAGTGAGCTGTGATCATACCACTGCACTCCAGCCAGTGTGAGACCCCATTTTTTTTTGACAGAGTCTCGATTGTTGCCCAGGCTGGAGTGCAGTGATGCGATCTCAGCTCAACGGCAACCTCCACCTCCTGGGCTCAAGCAATCCTCCTGCCTCAGCCTCCTTAGTAGCTGGGATTACAGGCATGCACCACCACGCCCAGCTAATTTGCTGGATCTTTTTGTAGAGATAGGATATTGCCATGTTGCTCAGGCTGGTTTCAAACCCCTAGGCTCAAGTGATCCTCCCACCTCTGCCTCCCAAAGGCATGAGCCAGCACACCTGGCCAATTCAGCCTTTAAAAAGGGGAAAATTCTGTCATTTTCAACAACATAGATGAAACTAGAGGACATTCCACTGGTGAAATGCCACATGATCTCTTTTCTATATGGAATCTTAAAAAGTTGAACTCACAGAAGTAGGGAATAGAATGATAATTACCAGGGGCTGGGGGATGTTGATCAAAGGATACAGATTTTCAGTTAAGAGGAATAAGCTGAGGCCGGGTGCGGTGGCTCATGCCTGTAATCCCAGCACTTTGGGAGGCCGAGGCGGGCGGATCACCAGGTCAGGAGTTCAAGACCAGCCTGGCCAACATGGTGAAACCCCATCTCTACTAAAAATACAAAAATTAGCTGGGTGTGGTGGCACACACCTGTAGTCCCAGCTACTTGGGAGGCCGAGGCAGGAGAATCGCCTGAACCTGGGAGGTGGAGGTTGCAGTGAGCTGACATCATGCCACTACACTCCAGCCTGGGTGACAGAGTAAGACTCTGTCTCAAATAAAAGAAAAAAAGAAGAAGAAGAATAAGCTTTAGTGATCTATTGCACAGAATGATGACTATAATAAATAATGATGCATTGTATGTTTCCAAATTGATTTTTTTTAAGTAGATTATTTTTTTAAATGGAGTCTCTTTCTGTCACCCAGGCTGGGGCGCAGTGGCACCATTTCAGCTCATTGCAACCTCTGCCTCCTGGATTCAAGCGATTCTCAAGCCTCACCCACTCTTTAATGCCCCAGAGAGCCCGATAACACAGACACTATTATCCTGATTTTAGAGAAGAGGAAGTTACGGTTCAGAGAGCATAGTGACGTGGCCAACCTCAAGCAGCTGGTAAATTTTTTATATTCACTTTTCCTTGATTAAACATTTATGGAGCTCCTAGCACTATGCCAGCTGTGCACTTTAAAATATATATATATATATATAAGAACAGGCCAGGTGTGGTGGCTCACGCCTATAATTCCAGCACTTTGGGAGGTTGAGGTGGGTGGATCATGAAGTCAGGAGTTTGAGACCAGTCTGGCCAATATGGTGAAACCCCGTCTTTACTAAAAGTACAAAAATTACCAAGGCGTTGTGGCGCGTGCCTGTAATCCCAGCTACTCAGGAGGCTGAGGCAGAGGTTGCAGTGAGTCGAGATCATACCATTTCAATCCAGTCTGGGTGACAGAACAAGCACCCGTCTCAGAAAAGAAAAAAAAAAAAAAGCCAGGTGTAGTGGCTCATGCCCGTAATCTCAGCACTTTGGGAGGCTGAGGCACGTGGCTGATCACCTGAGGTCAGGCGTTCGAGACCAGCCTGACCAATGTGATGAAACTCTGTCTCTACTAAAAATACAAAAATTAGCCGGGCATGGTGGCGCATGCCTGTAATCCCAGCTACTCAGGAGGCTGAGGCAGAAGAATCACTTGAACCCAGGAGGCAGAGGTTGCAGTGAGCCAAGATCGCACAATTGCACTACAGCCTGGGCAGAAAGAGCAAAACAAAGTAAAAAAAAAAAAAAAAACAGAAACATTTAACATGAGCCCTACTCGCTTTACAAAGGTTTAAGTTAAATGTGCGATACAACATTGTTGACCAAAGGTGCAGCAGATCTCTAAAACATGTTCCTCTGGCTTAATTTTAGTATTTGAAAGATTTTCAAGATTTGTTCAAGCTAGTAATTCTAAATGACATTCTAGAACTATGAAATTCTAGAAATGGAAAAATTTCTTGTGGATTCCATTCTTCTGTTCATACAAACAAAATTCATGACAATATTAGATTTATTCATTCCTAGCTTATTCATCAGTCCTCAGGCATACAGAAATAACAGAAAGACATTACAGACTGGCTGGGTGCAGGGGCTGACGCTTGTAATCCCAGCACTTTGGAAGGCCAAGGCAGAAGGATTGCTTGAGCCCAGGAGTTTGAGACTAGTCTGGGAAACATAGCAAGACACCACCTCTACAAAAAATAAAATTTAAAAATTAGCCAGGATGGTGATGTGGGCCTGCGGTCCCAGCTACTCAGGAAATTGAGGCAGGAGGATTGGTGAGCGCAGGAGTTTGAGGCTGCAGTGAGCTATGGATTGTGCCACTGCACTCCAGCCTGAGCGATACAGCAAGATTCTGTCTTTATTGACGGAGTCTCTCATTCTGTCACCCAGGCTGGAGTGCAGTAGTGCCATTTCGGCTCACTGCAACCTCTGCCTCCCAGGTTCAAGCAATTCTCCTGCCTCAGCCTCCCAGGTAGCTGAGATTACAGGCACGTCCCATCACACCCAGCTAATTCTTTTGTATTTTTTAGTAGAGATGGGGTTTCACCATGTTGGCCAGGCTGGTTTCAAACTCCTGACCTCAAGTGATCCGCCTGCCTCAGCCTCCAAAAGTGCTGGGATCACTGGCTGAGCCATTGTGCCTGGCCTCCAGATTCTGTCTTTAAAAGAGAAATAAATAAAAAATTGACTGACTGCAAATGGGCTGCTAAACTCAATTCCTCTATTTTATTCAGTTGCTAAGGGATTTTTGGATCTCGTATGGCTAATAAAGGGAAACTGACTGAAGAAATACTTGCAGAATGGGAAACCGATGACATGCAATGCAATCGTGATTACACGAAACAAGATGCTAAGGGAAGGATGGGTGGCTCCACAAATGTGATGTCTTAGCACATTTGGTCTTCATAAAGCATCAATAATAATGGCAAAAATACAGTGTGCCAAAGACCACCCACTATGTTGTAGAATATAGTCTACATCCATAAAAGATGTTTAAACAAGAAGGAAAGAGGTGCCGGGTGTGGTGGCTCATGCCTGTAATCCCAGCACCTTGGGAGGCCGAGGTGGGCGGATCATCTGAGGTCAGGAGTTCGAGACCAGCCTGGCCAACACAGTGAAACACTGTCTCTACTAAAAATGCAAAAATGGTGGCACATGCCTGTAATCCCATTTGCTCGGGAGGCTGAGGCAGGAGAATCGCTTGAACACGGAAGATGGAGGTTACAGTGAGCCAGGATCACACCATTGCACTCCAGCCTAGGCAAAAAGAGCAAAACTCTGTCTCAAAAAAAAAAAAAAAAAAAAAAATAGTAACTAAGAACACACTGTGTTTTGGAATCCATGATTAATCTGACCTTTCATAGTTGGAAACGTAGGTGTCCATAGATGCTGCGCCGACTCTTCCTCAGAACTTCAAAGCCATTTGCAGCCCACTAGGTTAATCACCAAGAACAGTGGCCCACACAGAAGGTTCGTGGAGCATAAACAAAGGTGCTTGTATTGGGGAAGCAAAGCTGCTTCTTCAGGAAGCCTCCCTGGGCCCCTCCAGGGGATTCTTGAGCCCTGACTGACAAAGACCAAAAAGGTCTGAGATTCGGGTAAACCTGTGGCTACTCATGGGATTCCGCATGCTTCTCTTCCTGGAAATGACATGAAATTCCTCAGCCTGCATCTTCCCTCCCTGTTATTTTAAGAATTTCTTTTTCTACATTTCTTCCTATGCAAGATAGATAGCTTAACTTTGGAGCAGAGCAAGAGCAAGGAAGGAGGGAGAAGGTGGAGATGAAAGATGAGAGAAGAGAAGGAGGAGGGGAAGGGGGAAGGAGGAGGACGGAGAGGAGGAGGGGAAGGAGGAGGAAGAGGGAAATGAGGAGGAAGAGGGGGAGGAGAGGAAGGAGGAGGAGGGGAATAAGGAGAAGGAGAAAGGGGAGGAGGGGAAGAAGGAAAAGGAGGAGGGGGAAGAGGAGGAGGAAGAGGAGAAGGAGGAAGAAGGACGGGAGGAGGAGGGGCACAAAGGGGAAAAAAGGGAGGAGGAAGGGGAGGAGGAGGAGGAAAGGAAGGAGGAGGAAGCAGAGGAAGAGGAGGAGGAGGAGGGAAAGAGGAGGGAGGAGGAAGAGGAGAAGGAATGGAAGGAGGAGGAGGGGGAGGAAAAAGAGGATGGGGAGGAGGTGGGCAGGAAGGAGGGGAGGGGGAGAGGGGAAGGGAAGAAGGAGGAGGAGGAAGGGAAGGAGGAGAGGGACAAGGAAGAAGTGGGGAGGAGGGAAGAGAGGAGGGGACAGGGAGGAGAAGTGGTTGTGGTTAGTTCCCAGGGCTATAAAGTCCTGGCGATCAGCTGGTCGACCACGTGTGTGTGCTGGGAGCATGGCCTGGCACTGGGGGCTCCTGCTGGCTTGGGTCTGCCTGCTTCACAGTGCGGTGGCTCTTCTAGAGGAAGGTGAGGAGCCAGGGGACCCTGGCTGGGGATAGGGTCCTGCACATCTGCCACTGTACGCCATCAAATCCCAGACGCCACAGAGGGCAGCAGTCGCCTTTGCTTTAGGTACCTTAAGAAAGAAAAAGATACTCTCCCTTTCAGGTCAGAAACACTATCCATGGGTAAAGATTTAAAAAAAAAAAAAATAAGCAAGTTCATCTAATAAAAGCATGAAAGACTAAGAATGTAAATTGAAAAATCCTAGTGACATGTTGCTTGAAATCCATTCTCCCTTCACGCCGGGAGATTTTAAATCCTCAGGCAGAGGTTTTGAAAATGAGACTAATTTTCATAAAGTCGATTTTATTCCTTTTCCAAAGCCTATAACAATTATGAAGCAAAAATCTAAACATAAGAAGGGAATTTACTATAGATGCATCTGACATGTTTGATGATGACAGAGAATAGTTGCAAAAACAATTTCTTATGGAATGGTCGTGAAGAATGATCTTGCATATATTTCTTTTAAGTATTCTTCAGGACATCTTTGCATTAAAAAAAAAATAACACTGTGCTTGCTAATACTTCCTTTTAAAAGAATAGAAAAGAAAAAGATAGTATGACCACTGCTTTCTTATCTGCTAGAATTATTTTATACATATTGAAAAATAACACTTTACTTGGCCATAGGTGTCTTTTTTTTTTTTTAAATCAGACATCATGTTTGTAGCTACATAAAAAAGACTATAGATCAGTGGGGAAAAAAGCTAATTAAGATGATCGTAAAGCTTCTCCACTGTCATTCAATGTCTGGTCTCCTGAATTATTGATGTTATATATTTCCACATAATACTTGTGCTGTTCAGACCCCTAGTGATAAGGCATTTCTCTTAATAATGCGTAAGTCATGGGCCCTGGGCTATTAGCCTGTATTTTAAATAATGTAGTGCGAGTCTACTTTTGATCTGCAAAACTGTTCACTATCTTCCTCTCTCCCCCTTGCAAGCATCTGCTTCCTGGACTTACTGTCTTTTTTGGTTGTTTGTTTTTTTTTTTGTTTTTGAGACAGAATCTTGCTTTGTCAACCTGACTGGAGTGCAGTGGCATGATCTCAGCTCACTGCATCCTCCACCTCCCAGGTTCAAGGGCTTCTCCTGCCTCAGCTTCCCAAGTAGCTGGGACTACAGGCACATGCCACCATGCCCGGCTAATTTTTATATTTTTAGTAGAGATGGGGTTTCACCATGTTGGTCAGGCTGGTCTTGAACTGCTGATCTCAGGAGATCCACCCAACTTGGCCTTCCAAAGTGCTGGGATTACAGGTGTGAGCCACCACGTCCAGCCTATTGTCTCTTAAGAGTTTCTTTTTAGCCACTGAGGAGCAAAGTGCATTTTTTATGTTAGTTGTATTCAGTACAGTCAATAGCAACTGGGTCCCCACCGCAATCCAGTCTGCAGATAGTGAGATGCCATCACAAATAAGGGGAATGTGAAAACATACACATCTAGGGCTCAAAGTCTTGCTCGAAGCCATAGACTAAGCTTGCTTGAAATCCAGAGATGCTGGAGAGAAATCTGAACTCCTAACTTGCCAGGAACAGAGTCTAGTGGGACAGAGGAGGTGAAGGGAGCCTCCGTTCTTGATGAATGGGGATGCAGGAGAGCTCTCGGCTATGGTTCCTACCCTTCCCCTTTGGAGAAGCATTGCATTTTAGTGGTTTAGAAGTGACATGATAGGCTTGCTACGTGCACAGGCTCTAGTGGGAACATTAGTGCATGATCTAGTGGGAAGACAGAAGACGAAACAGACCGAGTGTGGCACCTGCTAAATCTGTATGCCTGACCTGAAAAAGGAAACGTGGATGAATTGGCAAGACTTCACAAAGGACTTGGTTGAGTGATCTTGTTCCAGGGCTAGAAATTTGCCGTGTACAAAAGGTCATGGCTATTCCAAGTCGACGGGTTGTCTAAGGGATTACATGGGAGTGGGGAGGGGTAGGAGGAGGGGGAGGAGGGGGAGGAGGGAGAGGAGGAAGAAGGAGGGGAGGAGGAGGGGGAGAAAGAGGAGTTTCTTTTGAGCTACTGAAGAGCAAACTCCAAGTTTTTGATGCTGGTTGTATTCAATACAGACAATAGCAACCGGGTCCCCACCGCAATCCGGCTTGCAGATAGTAAGATGTCATCACAAATAAGGGGCATGTGAAAACTCATAGACATCTAGGGCTCAAAGTCTTGCTTGAGGCCATGGATTAAGCTTGGTTGGAATCCAGAGAGGCCAGAGGGAAATCTGTAACTCGCCAGGGGCAGAGTCAAGTGGGACAGAGGAGGTGAAGGGAGCCTCAGTTCTTGATGAATGGGGATGCAGGAGAGCTCTCGGCTATGGTTCCTCCTCATCCTCACTAGAGGAGCACTGCATTTTAGTGTTTTAGAAGCAGTGACATGACAGGCTTGCTAGGCGCACAGGACACAGAGACTAAACAGCACGAGCGTCTCCACTTATGAGCATGTGATCTGCACCTCCGCCTCTTCCCACTGGTGCCTGACCTAGTGGGTTTTTAAAAAACTCAGCTGGTGATTCTAATACGCAGCAAAGCTTGTGAAGCCACTAAGATATATAGATTTTTAATCTATAATTTAACTTTGACAAAGTTATGTAATTATTTTACTAATATCTTATTGAAAAGGTCATAGGGTCTATGGGATTGTCTTGAAACCAATTTTGAGGGGTTCAAATCCTTCCTTTTTCGTTTAAGAGTTTTACGTAAGTAGATTCTTCAAATGTGTGATAAGGAGGGGGGCAGCCGTAGAACCATTCTAGGTTGGTAGATATTCGCTCAATAGTTAAAACTTTTCGTTTTTGGCCGGGCGCGGTGGCTCAAGCCTGTAATCCCAGCACTGTGGGAGGCCGAGGCGGGTGGATCACAAGGTCAAAAGATCGAGACCACCCTGGTCAACACGGTGAAACCCCGTCTCTACTAAAAATACAAAAAATGAGCTGGGCATGGTGGCGTGTGCCTGTAATCCCAGCTACTCAGGAGGCTGAGGCAGGAGAATTGCCTGAACCCAGGAGGCGGAGGTTGCGGTGAGCCGAGATCGCGCCATTGCACTCCAGCCTGGGTAAGAAGAGCGAAACTCCGTCCCAAAAAAAAAAAAAAAAAAAATTTTCGTTTTGAGGAGAAGGCTTCTCAGATTATAAAAATTATTAGAATAACTGCTGTTAGTGAAATAAATCGGCCTACAGATGAGATAATATTTCATGTAGTGTATGCATCGGGGTAATCTGAGTATCGTCGAGGCATGAACTATTGCACTGGTCCGTTATGACTGCTGCTTAAATAATACGTGCCTAAGGAAAACGTTTTAATTTCAAGACGCAAAGGCAGCCAGGACAATTTAGCTGAAAAGCAAACTTGTTGAATGAAGAAACATGAGCAAATAGCAAAGTAGTCAGTAATGAATAAAACAGACACAACAAATTCAGAATTAAAATCATTGCTTTTGCAAAAATCTTTTCAAAAAACAAAAAAAAAAAGTCATTACTTTTTTAAGCATAATATACAAATTTGGTGAACTAGTTATGAACACAGATTATGTTGAGTTATAATGCTTTTATATGAGAGATATCTGCAAATTAATTATAGTATGTGTAAGTTCTCTTAATCAACATGACATTTGCAAATTTATTTGTTGGTAAATTGTGCTTTTCTATCTTACATTATTTTAATGGTTATTAAGCATCATGTAGCATGGGCTGTTTGAAAAAAAATCAAATTTTTCTTTCTTTTTTTTTTTTTTTTTTTCCGAGACAGAGTTTTGCTCTTGTTACCCAGGCTGGAGTGCAATGGCGCGATCTCGGCTCACCGCAACCTCCGCCTCCTGGGTTCAGGCAATTCTCCTGCCTCAGCCTCCTGAGTAGCTGGGATTACAGGCACGCACCACCATGCCCAGCTAATTTTTTGTAGTTTTAGTAGAGACGGGGTTTCACCACGTTGACCAGGATGGTCTCGATCTCTTGACCTCGTGATCCACCCGCCTCGGCCTCCCACAGTGCTGGGATTACAGGCGTGAGCCACCGTGCCCGGCTGCAAATTTTCCACTCTGTATTTATTCTATATTCATTCTATGTTCTATTTCATCCTAAAGTTATGACTATTTTTCTTTTTTTATCTTGTTTTCTTCTATCTCCTTCTTAAATTAAGTTATGACTATTCTTAAAGACTCAATTAAATGAACTTTATAAAAGGTATTTAATATTTAACTAAACACATGCTGGTTTTAAATCAAATAACCTTTACATAAAGTCACTTCAGGAACCATGCACAGTGACAAAACAAAAAATTCAAGTTCTAAGGAGGGGAGGTAAATATTACAGGTTTAATGGCTCATAAAGGAACAACGGCTGAGAAAAGCTGCTTTAAGGAAAAAAAAGTAAAGTTATCAGGCAGTTTCTTTCATTCCAGGAATATTAGGATATTCAAACTGGGGAGGACTTGACATCCTAACGTTCTCTCCATTTTACAGCAAAGCAAACTGAAGGCAGACTGTTGGTAAGTGGTTGAGCCTGTGCCCTGATTTGGGCCATTACTTCCTACTGAACCAACCCCTCCAAGGGGAATTCAAATTGAATTACCATATTCTTAACCTTTTTTAAATTAACGGAACTTAACACTTCCGAACTTTGTCTCTAAGATGATGGAAACAGCCAGGCGCAGTGTTGCACGCCTGTAATCCCAGAACGTTGGGAGTCTGAGGCAGGCAGATCACAAGGTCAAGAGATCGAGACCATCCTGGCCAACATGGTGAAACCCCATCTCTACTGAAATACAAAAATTAGCTGGGCGTGGTGGCGTGTGTCTGTAGTCCCAGCTACTCAGGAGGCTGAGGCAGGAGAATTGCTTGAACCTGGAAGGCGGAGGTTGCAGTGAGCCGAGATCACGCCACTGCACTCTAGCCTGGCCCCTAGCAACAGAACAACTCTGTCTCAAAAAAAAAAAAAAAAAAAAAGATGATGGAAATAATGCTTGCCTCACAAAATTGCTCTGATAAGTTAAATAAAATATAGTTTTCAGGATATATAAGATGCTTAGAGCATTTATTTGCATTCCTACATACCTCAGAGGTATCGTTCTTATTTTTCTCTCCTAGAGGGAGAGGTTTCCATTTTGAAAGTGACAGCTCCAAAGACATGAATCTCTGATGGAATTCAGGTACTCAATGAGAATTGGTGACTAAAAAATAAAAACCGAAAATAAAAATCAGAAACCTATGATGAAGTGGTTTTTTTTTGAAAAAAAAAAAAAAAAAAATGTGAGAAAAGTAAATCATTTACTTTTGCCTGGTCAATTTTTTGTTTTAAAAATAATTTTAATTATTCCTATCCTTTAATAATATTTGGAAAATACAGTTAAAGCATACGGAAAATAAGAAATCACCCACAATCACACTACCAAAAATAAGCTCTATTGAACTGTGATGCCTAATTTTCAAAATAGTATTATTCTTACTAGAATAGAAATTGGTGAAATCTCTTCATTTATTTTATCTTAAAGTAACACAAGTATTTGTTCAAAATTGTGTCTTTCAGATGAAATACAACCAACTGTAGGTGAGTTGATCAAAAAACTTTTATTAGGGTTTCTTTTAAATTTTTTGCAATAAAATGTGAAACCACTGAATATTTCCTTTCCTGGTACGAAATCATATTTTTCATTAAAGATTACTATTTTATGTACATATATAAAGTAAATTTCATGTTTAAAATGTTAAGAAAAAGAAGAAGAGATAAATCATAATTTTAATGTTAATTTTACTTTTGGGTGATTAAACATTTCATTACACATAACTTCATCATGTGATTTTTTTTGCAAAAAAATCAAATATTATGAAAATAAGAAATAGAAAATGCCTTTTGCCAACTAAAAATGAAGTACAAATTTTTCCACATCTATTTATATGCTCATTTTTATTAACACCTACTTGATATTATAAAGCCAATGTCATTTTAAAATTCCCTCAGGGATTAATATTTTTTAACTAATTTTTATTCTTAAACTAATACTAATCATGCTGAAATAAACATTCTTAATCTAAGTGTCATTCTCATTAAAACTAGGAAAGCACAGGAGTGTTACATTAACACTATTTTAGGTTCTAATATAAGTGATATTGTAAGAAGAAAAATGTATATAAAATAACAGGCAAAATTATTTTATGATTGTATACTTTAAATCCCTAAGAACATGAATAAAAATTATTAGTTTTAATAAAGTAATATAGCAATGTGGCTGGATACAAGATAAACATATAACAGTCAATAATTTTTCTCTATTTCCACTGGTAAGAACCAACTGGACATTGATGGAAATGGAAAACATTCTGTTTAACATCAATGACCAAAAAAAAAAAAAGCACTTTGGAATTAAATCCATGAGAAATGTGTATGACTTATATAAAATAAATAAGAAAATCATATTGAAGAGCAAAAAAAATACATTTTGAAAAAGAGATAATGCCATGTTCTTGGATGGAAAACATGATGCCATAATAATATCACTTTTTCTCAAACTAACATTTTTATTTAATTTTCATTTTAAAGCCTAAGAATAGTGAAATAAATGTCAGCTCTAAAATTTATTTTTCAGAAACTATAACTCATTTTCCAGAGATTAGAGGTAAGTTTATCAGAAAACTTTTATTATTAATGTATATTTTAATTATGTAAAAATGGGGAATCAGTAATGTTTTTTCAGCAAAAAATATATATATATAATTTTTTCTTTTTGTATAAAATGTAACATAAGTGCCTTGTAAACAGATAAAGAAAAAGGAGATATAGAAGTCACCCTGAACTTTCATCAGCACTAAATGTGTCTACTGTTTAATTTCTGCCAATCTAATAGGAAATACTAGATTTTAAATGTATATAGAAAACATCCAATAATAATTAGGAATATTATGAACAAAGTGCTGGAGTAGAGAAATATTTTATTTCATCAGATATTTAGCTATACTAAAATACTGTAATATAAACAACATGGAATCAGCCTATGAAGACAGAAGAGGAGGAGGAGGAGGGTAAAATGAAGAAGAGGAGGAATAGGAAGAAAGAGGAAGAGGAGAGGAGAAGAAAGAAAGAAAGATTTTGTGATACTTGCTGGCTGCAGAGCCTGCTCATTTTACCACCATGCTTTCTTACATCTCTGATAATTTCAAGATACTTGATTGAAAGTATAGGATGGATCCCAGGATATATTCGAATAATCCATGGTTTTAAACATGATTGTTTAAATGGTACCGGTGGTTTATTTCATCACAGGCCTCTCATTACTATTTGAAATAAAATTAAGTTGCATTCCCCTTTTGTATCATATACAAAACTAAATTCTTGCTTAATCAAATTTTAAATATAAGAGGAACAAAATTGTTTAAGAAGAAAATGGAAAAAATATATATTGCCTAAGGACCAGCAGATCTTTTAAAGCAAGGCAGGAATCATCTATAATACATGTCAACATTTTTAAAAGTGTGTAAATGCTTCGTGCTGATGAAAATTCAGGTAAAGGAACACAATTGGTGGGAAAGACTAATTGCCATTGTCCTTTGAGAAAGCAATACTCATCAATGTTAAAATTTTATATACACTTTGTCCTTGTAACCTTGCTTTGGGGATTCTATGGAAACAAATACTTCAATACATAAGGATTTAAATACATGAAATGTTTACTACAGTTATATTTACAGTGGGAAAAAATCTGAATGTGGGAAATATTGAATTAATTGTGGTGAATCCATATCACAGAACATGAATCAGCATTAGAAAGAAATTAAGGCTGGACTCAGTGGCTCATGCCTGTAATCCCAACATTTTTGGAAGCCAAGGCAGGGGAACAGTTGAGCTCAGGAGTCTGAGACCAGCCTGGGCCACATAATGAGATCTCATCTTTACAAAAAATTTTAAAATTAGCTGGGCATAGTAGCACACACCTGTAGTCCCAGTTACTCAGGAGGTTGAGGTGGGAGGATCACTTGAGCCCAGGAGAATGAGGCTGCAGTGAGCCATAAAGAAGTCAGAGCTACACAGTCACTTTAAGAGGATTTCTATGGTGTATTCAGTTGGAAACTCAAGTATAAAATGATTCATTTTGAAGGGCAGCAAAATATCCTGTATGTGTACCTATATGTGTATATGCATATATAACTATGTATATCCTGTATACAACCATACAGCATATATACAAAATCATGTAACATATATGTGCATATATATATAAAACCATACAACATATACATTACATATATCCGTGTTGTATGAGAGGGGGAGAGAAAGAGAGATGATGGAAGGAGGTGAAAATAAGACATCCAGGGCAGAGGAGAAGAATTGTTTGGTAGATAAATACCCACATTTATGTTTCTATGCCTAGGAGAGATTTCTGAAACTGGGGCAAGCCAGGCGTGGTGGCTCACACCTGTAATCCCAGCACTTTGGGAGGCTAAGGTGGGCAGATCACCTGAGGTCAGGAGTTCAAGACCAGCCTGACCAACATGGAGAAACCTCGTCACTACTGAAAATACAAAAATGAGCTGGGCGCAGTAGTGGGTGCCTGTAATCCCAGCTACTCAGGAGGCTGAGGCAGGAGAATCACTTGACACTGTGAGGCGAAGTTTGCAGTGAGACGAGATTGTGCCATCACACTCCAACCCGGGCAAAAAGAGCGAAACTCTGTCTCGAAAAAAGAAAGAAGGAAAGAAAGAAACTGGGGCAAATGCTACAGAAAATTTTGAGACTCTTTATGCCCTGGGAACAAGTAGGGCAGGGGCAGGAATAGAAAACAAAAGACCTTCGTCATTAGAGGGCCAAAGCTCTGCTATTGAGTGGTGCAATAACATTTACTACAGCCACAAGCAATGGGTAACAGACCCTAGGAAGGCAATGGCTTGATAACCTCTCTTGATAACCTCTCTCCTAACACACCCAGAGACAGATGAAGACTTTTGTTTTCTCTAGATGGGGAGTGTGTCTTTCCATTCTACTATAAAAACGGAACACACTATGACTGCATCAAGGGCAAGGCAAAACACAAATGGTGCTCATTAAACGAGACTTACAAAGGATACTGGAAGTATTGCGCTAGAGAAGGTGAGTGTCCTGCCTCTACACACCTCAGAGCAGTAATCTCGGTCTCTGAGGAGAAACGCAAGAGGGTTCTGAAAATAGAATCCATAGCCAATTGTGAAAATAAAGGATGTTCAATTTCTGACGGTATAAGAATCACATTGCACCAAAGATATGTTATGAGCACTTGAACCATATTATTTTGAAAAGAAAGAATCTTTTTAGTAGAACGTCAAAGTAATATGGGATCTGAGTGCCCCACCAATATTGGTCCTTTGTGCCTTTGGTGGAATAGGGCAGAGCAGATGATACTGAGTGGGAAGCAAAAGTGTGTGTATGCATGTGCACATGTGTGCATATGTGTGTGTCTGTGTGAGTGTGCATGTGTGCACATGTTTGCTCATGTGTGTGCATTCATGTGAATGTACCTATGCATTTGTGCACGTGTGTGCATATGTGGGCATGGTGCGGTGGAGGGGGTCCAAATTAGAAAGGTTTCTCTCTCCAACTGCTTCTTCCACTTTTTCCTCTGCAGATTTTGCAAGCTGTGTATTTCCCTTCTGGTACAGACGCTTGATCTACTGGGAGTGTACAGATGATGGGAATGCATTCGGGAGGAAATGGTGTTCACTGACCCAGAATTTTAACAAGGACCGAGTTTGGAAATATTGTTAATGATGGTGAGATTTACCAGGGGCGGGGGATAAAGACGTTTAATCATTCTCTTTGGAAAGAACCTACAGTTTTTGTTGGCAGAGGAGAACCCTTACTCATTAGAAAGGGTTGTTTGTTTGTTTTTTTTCTTTTTTTCTGAGATGTGAGCTGAAGGTGATCTAACTATAAATAACTAGAGGTTTTTGATTAAGGATTATGGGTTTTAATATGGAAATCTGTAATTTAGCCTCAGCACTTTAATTGCTAACTGTAAAATTAGTCCTTTTTAAAAATGACGTCTATGGGATAGGCGTGGTGGCTCATGCCTATAATCCCAGTGCTTTGGGAGGTCGAAAAGGAAGGATTGCTTGAGGCCAGGAGTTCAAGACCAGCCTGGACAACATAGCAAGATCCCGTTTCTAAAAAAAAAAAAAAAAAAAATGTTTTCAATTAACTAGGCACACACTTGTAGTCTCAGCTACGCAGGAAGTTGAGGCAGGAGGATCACCTGAGTTCAAGAGTTCAAGGTTGTAGTGAGCTGTGAGGAAAGGGAGACCCATCTCTAAAATAAGATCAATGAAGTAAGTGTATAGACTTTGGAAGACAGTGACGTGTCAGTGTAGATTCATCCATTGTAACAAATGTTCCACTCCGGTGGAGGAATTGATAACGAGGTGGCTGTGTGTACATGGGAAATTTTTGTATCTACTACTTAATTTTTCTGTGACTTCAAACTGCTCTAAGGCCAGGTGCAGTGGCTCACACCTGTAATCCTAGCACTTTGGGAGGCCAAGGTGGGTGGATCACCTGAGGTCAGGAGTTCAAGACCAGCCTGACCATGAGGGTGAAACCCCATCTTTAGAAAAAATAAAATAAACTAAATTTTTTTTAAACTGCTCTAAAAAATAACTTGCATTGGCCAGGCGCAGTGGCTCATGCCTGTAATCCCAACACTTTGGGAGGCCAAGGAGGGCAAATCACAAGGTCAGGAGATCGAGACTATCCTGGCTAATATGGTGAAACCCCATCTCTACTAAAAATACAAAAATAATTGGCTGAGCATGGTCGCACGTGCCTGTAATCCCAGCTACTCAGGAGGCTGATGCAGAAAAATCACTTGAACCAGGGAGTCGGAGGTTGCAGTGAGCCGAGATCGCACCACTGCACTCCAGCCAGGTGACAGAGTAAGACTCCATCTCAAAAATAAAAAATAATGTGTATTTTAAAATGCATTGCCTTAACGAAGAATATGGTTTTTTAAAAAAGTGATAACTGAGGTGGTACCTGAAATAGGAATACAGGTGTGGAGGTAAAGTATCAGAGGGAAGTTTAAAAAGGCTCAGATATGAAACACATGAATGAAGGCAACAAAGCTGGGTGCATTTTACAAGGTGAGGGAGAGCCACTGGGGCAGGTCCATGGTGAGTATCCCGAGAGCCAGGCGGTGGGCATGCCAGCACTTGAGAGCTGGCTAAGTCCAAAGAGAAGCCACAGAGCAGCGTTCAGTAAGCAGAATCTGGACAGAATCCAATTTGATGATAGAGGCCAGGAACAGTGGCTGACGCCTGTAATCCCAGCACTTTGGGAGGCAGAGGCAGGAGGATCGCTTGAGCCCAGCCTGGGCTACCTAGCAAGACTTCATCTCTACAAATAATTTTAAAAATTAGGCAGGCATAGCAGCACATGCCTGTGGTCCCAGCCACTAAGGAGGCTGAGGTAGGAGGATCACTTGAGCCCAGGGATTTGAGGCTGCAGTGAGCAGTGATTTCGTCCCTACACTCCAGCCTGGGCCACAGAGTGAGACTCTGTTTCTTAGAAATTAACATTAAAAATTAAATTAAGACACAAATGTAATTATAAGGCAAATTGCTTTGGCTCTGGGTGGACAATGGAAAGATGAAATGGCCACGGACTGAATCTGGTACCCCGCTTGAAGCTGGGAGGCCGTGGTTGCAGTAGGCCGAGATCACTCCACTGCCCTCCAGCCTGGGTGGCAGAGCGAGACTCCATCTAAAAAAAGAAAGAGAACGCGGCTGTGGAGGTAACCAACCTATGGGAGCTGAGGGAATTAATACCTCAACCTCCTTCCCTGTCATCTCCTGCCAGTGCTTCCCATCGGTCAAGCCCAAGTAGAAAGCAAAGGGGAAGGAGCTCAACGATGAATGAGGGGTGGAGAGTGAGCCGGCAGGTGCATGCAGGTGGCACTCAGCATGGCTGGGAACATGAGTTTTAATCCCACCAAACTAAATGACGAGATTCCCACCACAGCGTAAAGCTGCCCAAGGGGCCACACTGAGAAGGGCAATGTTTGTTTGGGTTTATTTCCAGGTGGGTGTGTTGGTGGGTGTGGAAGAAGAACAGAGGGCTGAGGATAGAGTATGTACAAAAGAAAGATCCATGAGGATAAACAAGGAGCCGGAAGTGAATAAATGCCAAAGATGGCGGTGAAGAAAAGGAGAAGGAAGTAGAGGCCCAACACACCGGAAGTCCCACCTGATTTTGACTTCTTCCCGCTGCGTCGGAGCAGTGGCGGGAACACTAACAAGATGGCGCCCTCCTGCATGCACTTGGCTCACTTATTTCTCTTGTGATATCCAATAAAGAGTCTCCAGGCAAATGTGGTCTTTCTTTTTTGGCTGAATTGAAGGGTCCAATCTCTTAACAACCACCTCTTGTGGCAACCAGCAACTCCCAAATGTTGAACCAGTACTTCAGCCAGCTTCCCCTTTCTCTTCACCCCAAAATATCTGCAGAATAAAATGGTGCTTGACTTTTTATTGTGGTTGTGAAACAGATGACAGGCAAGGTTACGAATGAAGTGTGTGTGTTTGTGTGCACACGTGGATTCCCATGGAGGAGGAAGGACCACGTTGATGGATAAGTTGGCCTAAAATGACTTGAATGTGCTGGTGATGGATGAGATGGCACCAATAAAATGACAGGAAACTGTTCCCTGGAAGTGAGTAAAATACTCCAAAATTTTTAAGAAAAACACAGAATCATGCAAAAACTACTGGTCTGGCATGTTACTGCCTACATTATTATAGAAAGACTTATTTACCAAGTCTGGATATAATGTCTATTATATATGGGGGGATGGGGATGTGTGTATGTACACACACATACACATACACACACACGCGCACACATATGCATATATAGGAAGGAAATAAAACTGGGAAATTTTTTAATTTTTTAAAACTTTAATTAAAAAGATATTCTGCTATTTCAATATATTAAAATAAACACTCTCTCCATCTCAGCTTCAATATTCTAATTCTACACATCTGAGGTAACCATGGTGAAGAATTTTCTATTTTCAATTTCTATTTAAAATCCAGCTCTACATAACTAGCCTAAAGATTACCGTAGGCCAGGCACAGTGGCTCATGCCTGTAATCCCAGCACTTTGGGAGGCCAAGGCAGGCAGATCACGAGGTCACGAGTTTGAGACCAACCTGGCCAACATGGTGAAACCCATCTCTGCTAAAAATACAAAAAATTAGCAGGGCGTGGTGGTGCGCACCTGTAATCCCAGCAACTCGGGAGGCTAAGGCAGGAGAATTGCTTGAACCCAGGAGGTGGAGGTTGCAGTGAGCTGAGATCAAACCATTGCACTCCAGCCTGGGCGACAGAGCAAGACTCCATCTCAAAAAGAAAAGAAAAGAATACAGTAAGAGATTTGATTCAAATAAGTATATCAAGGTTATCAGGGTTATAGGCAAACTAACGCAAGAACAGAAAACCAAACACTGCATGCTCTCACTTATAACTGAGAACTGAACATGGAGAACAAACACATGGAGACAGAGAAAAGAGCAACAGACACCAGGGCCCACTTGATGGTGGAAAGAGGTAGAAGGGAGAGAATCAAAAAATTACCTATAAAGTCCTACGTTTATTACATGGGAGATGAAATAACCTGAGCACCGAAGCCCTTTGACACCCAATTTACCTATGTAATAAACCTGCGCGGGTACCCCGAGCCTAAAATAAAAGTTTTAAAATATATGTACATATATATCAAGGTTAGCATGTGACAACTGGAATCAGGTATTCAGTCTGTCAACCTAAACGAGATAAGACTTTTAACACCACCCCCTTGTTAAATTGTGAAATCTAGCAGATTTTAGATTCCGCTCACTATTTACACATGTTGAAGAAGAGGAAAGTGCCAATTATCTTATTTTTTTTTTTTCTTTTTTTGAGACAGAGTCTCACTCTGTCGCCCAGACTGGAGTGCAGTGGTGCGATCTCGGCTCACTGCAACCTCCACCTCCCGGGTTTAAGCGATTCTACTGCCTCAGCCTCCTGAGTAGCTGGGATTACAGGCGGACACCACCATGATCAGGTAATTTTTGTAGTTTTTTTTTTTTTTAGTAGAGACGGGGTTTCATCATTTTGGTCAGGCTGGTCCCAAACTCCTGACCTCATGATCTGCCCACCTCGGCCTCCCAAAGTGCCTGGATTACAGGCGTGAGCCACCGTGCCCAGCCTATCTTTTGATTTGGTGGAGCAAACCCCAGGTATTTATCTTGTTTAGGAATGCAGAGATTGAATTACAACCAGCGGAGCAGAAGAACAAGTATGAAAAACAGAATGATAACTTTTTCTTCAAAGGCTGTTAACATAGGACAGAACAACCATTTCTAAAGACTTTTCAGTATTCCAGAACCTTTTGGTTCAAATTATATTTCCAAGGCTTTAATAATGGACAAGACAAATTGGTAACAGATATTAATATTATGATAAATCTCCTTGCATGGTAAAACAAGATGAGTGTTCTTAGGGTGTTCTCAATTAATAAGAAAGGAACTATTTAGTATAAATAAATGCTATGCTAAAAATTGGGGTAAGAAGGCCGGCACAGTGGCTCACGCCTGTAATCCCAGCACTTTGGGAGGCCCGGGGGACAGATCTCAAGGTCAGGAGTTCAAGACCAGCCTGGCCAACATGGTGAAACCCCATCTCTGCTAAAAATACAAAAATTAGCTGGGCATGGTGGCAGGGGCACCCGTAATCCCAGCTATTCAGGAGGCTGAGGGAGGAGAATCGCTTGAACCCGGGAGGTGGAGGCGGCAGTGAGCTGAGGTCATGCCACTGCAATCCAGCCTGGGTGATAGACTCCATGTCAAAAATTAATTAATTAATTGATGAATTAACTAACTAAACAGAGATTCTAGGGGTAAGGGGAGTCCAGAGAATGGGACCTCCAGGATCAGGGATCACTTCTAGGAAGGGACATCATCCAGGCTGGGTCCCGATAGTTTAATGACAATTAGGCAGGTGCAGAAGTGAAGGAATAGACGTCCAGCTCAGGGGATGGCATGTCTAGAAGCCCCATGACCACACAGACACAGACACACAGAGACATACACACACAGACACATACATACACAGACACACACAGACAGACACACACAGACACACACACAGACAGACACACACAAAACCTCCACTCTTAAACTTATCCACATGAGTCATAATCTTCAATTTATCAACACACACCCAGCATTGTTAATTAAAAATGCCACAGACGTGGATGGAAAAACACAGAGTGTTTCATGTGTATGGCCTGAGTTACTTCTAAAAAGGTTTCAGAGTTTATATAGATAGATGTGGATGCCTAAATAGAAAGACACAGATAATCGACAGAGAGATGTCAGCTCATATTTTAAAGTGTGTTCTTTCTATAGATTACGGTTTAAAAAAAGAAAGGAAACGTTGTCTTTGTGAACCCAGAAATCTCCTCTTAATCTTTAACAAGGAATAGGAAATCTTTTGTAAAGAATAAGGCTGGCTTGTTTTTCCGGTCTACGAATGCCAGCAGAAAGCAATGCTTTTGAAGTGGGTTTAAATGTTTCAGTGGAGACAGGCAGAGCCTGCTGTGACTGAGCCCAGGGGGTGGCAATTAATTCCGAAGAGGCCGAGTGATGCTGGTTATTGCACCAGACGACAGAGTATACTGTACTCACTCATCAGGTCCTAGGGAATGGCTGATGGAAGAGAGACATCTAGTGGTGATAAATTTATCACAGATTTTTTTTCACAAATGAATTCAACCGGCAGCTCACTAAAGACATTCCTTGCGCTGGGTGCAGTGGCTCATGCCTGTATTCCCAGCAATTTAGGAGGTCGAGGTGGGTAAATCACCTGAGGTCAGGAGTTCAAGACCAGCCTGGCCAACATAGTGAAATCCCGTCTCTACTAAAAATACAAAAATTAGCTGGGTGTGGTGATGCAAGCCTGTAAGGAGCTACTAAGGAGGCTGAGGCAGGAGAATGGCTTGAGCCCGGAAGGTGGAGGTTGCAGAGAGCCGAAACCATGCCATTGCACTCCAGCCTGGGCGACAGAGTGAGATTCCATCTCAAAAAAAAAAAAAAAACAGTGCACAGGAGAGCCACAGTATAATGGCCAGACCGGACCCATCCATCTAGAGTCATGGTTTTTCTCCTGGTTCCAGGCACAAGTCAGTTCTCCAACTAAATGCCCCTGAGTGAAGGTAAGGCTGGGAAACCAGGAAGTCAGACACTGCTATCAGGCCATAGTGCAGACAAGTTAGAAAACACAAAGGAAAGGCAGGCGTGATTGCTCACGCCTGTAATCTCAGCACTTTGGGAGCAGAGCGGGGTGGATAACCTGAGGTCAGGTCAGGAGTTCGAGACCAGCCTGGCCAACACGGTGAAACCCTGTCTCTACTAAAAATACAAGATTAGCCAGGTGTGGTGGTGTGTGCCTGTAATCCCAACTATTTAGGAGGCTGAGGCAGGAAAATAGCTAGAGCCTGGGAGGCAGAGGTTGCAGTGGGCCGAGATCATACCATTGCGTTCCAGCCTGGGTGACTAGAGCCTAATTCTGTCTCAAAAAGAAAGACAGAAAAAAAGAAAGGAAGGGAGGGAAGGAGGGAGGGAGGGAGGGAGGGGGGAAATACAAAGGAAAATACATAAACTTTCCAGAGCCTACTGAATACTGGTTTTGAGCAAAGATTAGTTTTCAAGGACTAGGAATGCCACTGACATCCAGTGATTAGAATGGAAAATTATAGGAACATGAGATAGAGTCCTGATTTAAGTTCACTTCTCTGTCTTAGCTCAGTGTAATAACAAACGCTTTCTGCAATTATTTCCACGGGGCCCAGGAGTAATACAGTTTGAAAAAAATATTTTCAGAAAGGTGTATGACTCACATGGGTTCCCAGAGCCATGGGCCCAGCTATGAAGACAGGGAAGTCACACAGGATGTCACTGTAGTTACCCTCCTACAAGAATGATGTGTGTAAAGAAATATTACGTTCCTTGGGAACTGCGGAGCTTGGCGGCACCAACAGACTTGAAAGACTGTTGTCAAACTCTATTCATTTTTCTAATGAGCCACTACAAAAAAAAATGCTGAGGCTTAAACAATGACCATGATTTATTCTTATGTCAACCAAGTCAACCTACTCCTTTTGTACCTGCTCTTCGACATTGATTTTATTCCCAGAGACTCTGGTCTTAGGTAAGCACCTGCTTAGAGTGTGTAGTTACATGCCCCGGCCAAACGCAGGAGAAGCTGATAAACACAGTGTAGCCAGGCAGCTAGGTAATCAGTTTCCATTGTGCTACAA